TCCACCCTCCTTTCTGAAACCTGGGGTGGCCCTGGCCTCGCTAGCAGGGACAGTACCTTTTCCTTTTTTAAGAAAATATATTTTTTATTGATTTCAGAGAGGAAGGAAGAGGGAGAGAAATATCAATGATGAGAATCATTGATTGGCTGCCTCCTGTACGCCCCCGACTGGGGATCGAGCCCGCAACCTGGGCATGTGCCCCAGACTGGAATCGAACCTGGGACCCTTCAGTCCGCAGGCCAACGCTCTATCCACTGAGCCAAACCGGCTAGGGCTAGGGACAGTGCCTTTTCTAACGCTGCAGCAGTGGTGCCTGCGTTTTCTCCTTTAAGCACTTGGCACATCGCACGTCTGTATAACGAATCACTGAACGCACCACCCCTTCCAGGTCACCAGCACCCTGCGGGCAGTCCTGTTTGGTTTAGGGCGACGCTCACAGCATGCAGGGGAGCCTGATGCTCGCCCCGCACTTCGCTCTCTATTGCCTTGAAATTCATCTTTGTTGTTGTTAATCCTCACCGGAGAGTATTTTTCCATTGAGTTTTAGAGAAAGTGGAAGGGAGGGGGGAGACAGAGAAACATCCACGTGAGAGAAACACATTGACTGATTGCCTCCCACACGTCCCCGGACCAGGGCTGGGATCAAGCCTGCAACTGAGGTGCGTGCCCTTGACCAGAATCAAACCCAGGACCCTTCAGTCCGCAGGCCGACGGGCATAGTTCATCTTCCTTAATGACCATCTATCGCCCACCCCGACCTCTACTTGCACGACGTCTCCATTGGGTTTTTCCTGGACTTTACTGGTAAAACCAGGAGGACCACCCTACCTAATGCACCCTCAGGCCCTCTGGCTGACCCATGCTGCTGGCCCCCTCCCTGGGCCACCCCGAGGTGTTAGCAGTCACCTGTTCTTTGTGGCAGGCATCTGCTCTGCTGTGGTTGCTACGCCCACTTTTGGGATCTTCTGGGGCAGAAGCTTTGTGTTCTGTGGGAGGCGGCGGGCGGGGTGCTGGGCTGCCCCACCCTTGCTTACTCAGAGCAGGAGAACTTTCACTGATTTCATTTCTGAAAAGGGCACTGGTGATAAATATTTGAGAAATTGGAAACTACTGCTGTGTGGGATGTGTACAAGTGGTAAAGACTTCCCAAGGCGATCTTTAGAAACCGTAATTCTTTAAAGAAACCGGCGAGGCTCTTGGGTGCTGCACGGCCCCGTCGCGGGTCCCTTCCTGTGGCCTTGCACCAGTGCCCTCCCCCCCCCCCCCCCCCCCGCACTGGGTAGCTGGTCAACCCTCAGGAAACCCTCATTCCCTCGCCCAGAGAGCCAGCCCGTGGCTCCTGCTCAGATGGGAGTAGGTGATGTGGAAGCCGTGGCGGCTCCATGGGGCTTCAGAGCAAACACGAAGGGGGAATGGCCCTGTGGCCACTGGTCCTAGCCTGACTCTCCACACGGGCCTCAGCCGTCAGCTGCGGTGGCCCCTGCGAGGGGACACCCATCTCGCATCTGCAGCAGAGCCCCCTCCGGTGCTGGGGCCTGGAAGCTCTGGCCCTGCTGCCCCAGGTCACTGCACACCGTCTTCCCACCACACACGTGCCTCCCTGGCCTCCCCAGCTAAGAGTGGCTTCTGGTACCTGTTGGTCTTACTAAAAAAGGGGGCATCGGCTCCCCTGCTCCTCTGGCCAAGAAATTCAAGAATAATCCTCTCCAACTCCCACCCAATTAGGTACTTCCCTTCCCGGACACTCTAACCCCGGTCCTTTCCCAAGCCAGTGGCCACAGCGTGGCTGTCCGGGTTATGGAGCGTAACCAGCCGGGCTTTCTGCCCTGGGACGCACCCAGCACATCACAGGCGGCCGCTCTGAACCAGCCGGTGTCAGTCCCCTGGTCCAGCCGGTGAGTGGAAAGCATCTCGACACCAGTGTGAGCACAGGACGTTACTATAGAGACTTCTTCACTCTCAAGCTTAGGAATCAGGACACGGAAGATGAAGGGGCAGAAGGGAACAGGAAGTAACTCTTCCAGGCGTGAGCCAAATGCCTTTCTTTCACAGTAAGGAGGCCCAGCTGTCCCCTCCGAGGCTCTCCAGCCCAGGGGAGGGAGTGGCGAGGTCCCACAGGCTCTTCCTGATCCCCTCATGAGACAGAACTTTGCTCCTGGATCTGAACAGCTTTCCTGTTCCTGCTGTGATCATTCAGCCTTTGAATCCACACGCTTGTGGACCCACGGAAATGCTATGGCCAAGCCCCTGCACATCGTTCCCTCCCTTCCTTCACAGATCGCAGCAGGAGGGGTTGCCTTCAGGAGCCCAGGGCTGGCTTGGCAGCAGGTACTCAGTCTGCAGATCTGACCGGAGGGCGATTGGTACATCAGCATCAGTGGAGCAAAAAGAAACGCACACAACTGGTTTCCTCCACTGGGTGGTTTGCAACTGAAAGGGGACAGGGTTTCTTCCTCCCGTGCTGGCTGCTGGCGACTGACTTCAAAACCCCCAGCAGGACAATGCCCACTGTGGGCCGTCTGATGACACTCTGCTCCCCACAGGCACACCCCAGGCTCTAGTGCTGGGAGAGTGCCTGTGAGCGAGCCTCTGCCCCGAATTCCCGACACAGGGCTCTTAAAACCCATGCAATTTCCTGGGTGATCAGAAGGCTAGGAGCATCTTCAGCTCTAACATTTGGTCTCTGACCCCGGTTCCTGGCACAGGGCTTCTGCCAACCTTGCCAGTTTCTGGGTGCTGGGCGTGCCTTTGGTTCTGAGGAGGCCACTCCGGCTGGGCTCCTGGATGAGGGCTGGTCCCTGGGAACACCGGGCCATGACTAGAAGCTTGGAATCGTCAGTGCCATTCCCATTCTTTGAGGAAGGAGAAGAGCTGGAAGTGGAGTTAATGATGGATCATGCCTATGTGAATCCTCCATAAACCCCAAAGGATGGGGTTCGAGGAACTTCCACACATTGGGAGCTGACACCCCCACCTCTATAAAGCTCCTGCGCTTGGGACCCTCCCAAACCTCGCCCTACAGATCTCATCTGGCTGTTCTGGGCATCATGTCCTTTAATAATCTGGTAGTTAAACGTCTGCCTGAGTTCTGTGACTCTAGCAAATTAACTGGACCCGAGAAGGGGTGTGGGAACCCCTGATCTATATACATAACCTGTTGGTCAGAAGTCCAGTGACAACCTGGGCTTGTGACTGGCATCTTAAGTGGGGGAGCGGAAGGCAGTCCCATGGGACTGAGCCCCGAACCTGTGGGATCTGACACCATCCCGGTGTAGACAGCATCATAATGAAGTTGAATTCTTGGACATCCAGTTGTTGTCCCAAGAATTGCTTGGTGCTTGTTGTATGGAAAACTACCCAACATTGGAAACTTGGGTACCGGAACCCATACATTTTCAAAGAGCATGACGGGTTCTGACCTCTGCCTCCTGCTTTTCAACATCTCCCACCACATGCTCTGCATCCTAGGGCTCCCCTCCACACTGCACGCCAGCCCTGGTGGTCCGCCACCTTGCCCTCTCTCCCCAGCCACGCCACTCTCCGCCGCCCCACCCCCCGCCTGTTTGATCCAGCCAATGACATCATTCAAGAGGAAACACTGCAGCTCCCCAGATCTGCTCCATCACACACAGGCCCCACAGTGCCGGGCATTCCCACTTCTGCTTCTCTTGGTGGCTCTCCCTCATTCTCCGCAGACTCAGTTTCCCACCTAACCTGAAAAAGACATGCCATGGGGTACCTCACTCCACTGTTTCCTCTCCACCTAGAAAATGACCTGTCTTCAGCCCCCCTTGGCCCTAGATTCAGAAAGAGCCTTCACATCCCAAGTCCACCTAGACCCCCCCTTACCTGCTCTCAGCCGTGCAAGGCCCAGTTCCATCATCCCCTTCCACTGCCCCTCCCTCCTTACTTAGATTCAAACAGTCACGCCTGTCCCCCAAGAAAACCCATTTCTTTATTGTTCCTCAGTGGACCACCCACTCTCCTCCCTCCACACTGGGCCCAGCGGGTCTGTGTCTCGCCTCCGCCTGCTCTGGGTTTGGTTTCTGCTCTTCTCAGAGGACCGGTCTGTAGTCACTAGTCAGCCCCGAACACTCCTGTTCTGATGAAATGCAGCAAACTGCGCCACCCAGGGGGCCGGTGTGTAGCACCAGCTGGAATGGCCGCATTACGGCTAAGGCAAGGAACTCACCGGAATTAAAGGGGAAAAGAATGATTCCTAGAGTCCTTGCTGAATAAGGAAGATGATTTTAATTGCTTTCTATAGGATTTGGACAACAAAGAGTGTTACCCTCAAAGGTAAGGCGAATGCTTTCTCCTGTGAGCGTTCCCAATCTCGCCATAAACTCTGGGTTCGGTGGATGAGTCCACTTCCCTGGAGCGGCTGTGGACGGGTTTTCCTCTCAGATGAACAGGAAGCATTTAGGAACATTTGCTACTTACTGAGCACCTTTCTTTTGAAGCCCTTTACTGGACAGTTGAGAAATACTTTCATAATCCTTACCGCACGCAAGAGAGGGATATGGTTCCACTTTACAGAGAGGGACAGAAGCACAGAGCAGCGGTGACCCGCCGAAAGCCAGCGCAGCTACAAGCACAGGCCCAGTTATGGGCCTAAAACCTGTGGTCTTTCCACACGAAACCAGAGACATTTCCAATACTTTGTCTTGCAAGTATCCTCCTGCATGATGCCCGGTGTCGGCAAGAACCGCAGGTCCCAGAGTCCCTGAAGGAGTCAGGTTTCTTGGTCTGAAAACAGGCCGCCCATGACACCTGCCCGGGGCCCAGGTGGGAAGAGACACGTGGGCACTGTGCCAGGACGCCCCGCACGGCCTTCTTCCCCCACAGTCTGAAGACCAATCGCAGAACCCGATGGAGCACTGAAATACCACTGACCCAGGGCTCCAGCCTGTGCTTCTATCACCAATTACTACCAGCAAAGTCGATTAGGAAGATACACTTATCTGGGAAACGTTCTAATAAAGGACCAGACGAATTCATATTTTCACACATAAAATTCCAATTAAACTATACATGCACAGTACTATGTTATTTTGGTAACACAGGGAAACAATTTAATGATTCTAATTTTTTTGTAGTTTTTTTTTTTTACAAGTCAGGTGCCATAACATTCAAATAATCCATCTTTTAAAAAGTACGTTTACAACATCAAAAGAATTAAGATGAAATATAAACCTTTCTACTTACAATTTTTATACAGATTAACCAAATCACAGATACCACAAATAAATGTTAAATTGTAACAATATAATGAATAAACATTCAGATTCTTAATAAAATCTTCCTTTAACTTTTTTTTAAAACTTACCATTATACTAAATAATCTATGCAGAGTTTTGGGGTACAATACCAAGAAGGCACCAACAGTACAAAGCAGATACAAAGCAGTTTCAGAACTTTCTTGAGTGCTCTAAACGGATAAACAGCACAAAAAAGGCAACGAGCTTTAGGGTAAACCTGGTGCAACCCTAGAGAATTCGCTCTGGATTCCCAGTCGTTTCTGATCCACCTGCCGCGCTGGGTTACGGCGAGAGAAACCACAGATTCACTCTACTGCTCCATGCTTCTCATCTGCACTATGGGAATATCATATTTCAAACACCAGCATCACAATTTTAAAGCACAAATGCTTTAAAAATGTATAAGCAAAAGAATTGCTCTGATTTTCAAAACCACTACATTTACAAAAATATTTCCCTTAAACTTGGGATTGCTCCAAAACATTGATTTACAAATATAAAAGTATTATGGAAGGACCCAAAGCATGTGTGCATATGTATGTTGTTACCATACTATATAAAAGTTACCAATTTAAAAACTGTATTAACATCTAAGCAAATAAAGGTAAAACAGTCTCCTCTGAATGGTCTGAATGTTACGTGGCACGCGGCGTGGGCAGTATCCCTGTGACTCCTTAGAGACAACCACTGATGAGCCGTGTGTGGGTCCTGAAAGCTAGCAGCTGCCTCCACACCCATCACCTATGCCTGCAGCAGATGGAATCGCTGTGAACACACCAAGCACTGTGTACTGCACACAAACGCAAAGATGTTCTTCACCCCATGCATCAAAATGGTCTGCGTGTCTCTACCAGCTCTGAAGACCTGAGTCAGCAGAGTCGTCATAAGTTCTCTCAAATCCACCCCACTGGCCTATTAGGTATTTTATTTCACACTAAATGAAAGAATTGGAATGTTTCAATAGGAATTTTTTGCTTACATTTTAGACACCAAAAAAGCCATTAGTTTGAAAGCTTATGTGAGCATACCAATAATGAAAGTGTTCATTCTCACCAATATAAATTTATGACCTAATCTGTACATTTTTAGAGATGCAAGAAGATCCAAATGTTGAGTCTATCGCACATAACAGCTAGTACTTTTCACAGGTACCTTGGTTATGATAATTCTCTGAACTATTAAACCAAGTTGGCATGACTGATTAAAAGCACACCACATATGGCTACAGTGATTCTAGAATGCAGTTAGTGGTTTCATGCCAATCTGACTCCAGGTACCAGCAAAGATGGGAAGAGCCCAGTTCCCAGGCATTAGTAACCAAGACTATGGCTTTCCATTTAGAGGACTGAAGATTAACCTCATAATACTACTAACATTCCACTTAAAGAGTCCACAGAAACAAGAGTAATAAAACTGTCAATGCTCCTTTTAAAATGAAAACTGACTTATCAATGTATCAAGTAACAGTCCGATCTATATCCTGTCAATGTTGTGTGGACCTTGACATGCAGCTCTGAGCGTGGAGCTGAGGATCATGTATTTTAGGGCAAGAATCGAGATGCAGCTTCAATGACTGAGGATGAGTCAGCCATCCTTCTTTAGCCCGTGAGGTCTGAGCCTCAGGACTCTGGGCCGGGTGGGGGGGGCAAGGGATGCTGGGCAGCCCTTCCCAGCGCTCAGCTGTGCCTAGCAGCAGCTCTGGGCACACAGGCAGGCCCTCTTTAGAAAGAACCAGAGAATCCAGCCTGAGACGTTTGGGCTTCTTCGTCAGAGTTTTGAGATATTTTGGACCTATGATTTGAATAAAGAAACAGGTCAGAATTTATTTCTCTGCTGTGCAAGTAGGAAAAATAGGAAACAAATGCTTTCTAAGTCATTTCATGTAAACCAAAGTGTTGGGCAGTGCCCAGTGGGAAGGTGAGGCTGGAAGCATTTCTGTTCTAAGCACAAACTGAACCTGACTGTCCCTTCGGACATGCTGATCCAGAGGAAATCAACACTGAATCTTAACATGAATATGAAGATAGAAGATGTACATTTATTTCCATGAATTACAAGTGCATTTCTTTTCATATTAGCAGGCAATCTTCATAAAACCCATTTTCCATTGCTGTCAAAAATCAAACAAGAAATAAAGGACAGCTGAGAAACGAAAAGCTAAAAATAGAATTATTCCTAAGTGATCTGCTGAATAGCATTTTCCGTGGAACACAACTCAGAGGTAACAATAGATTTTTCATTTCAATCATAGGCATGTGGCACTTGGACAGTCATCTCTGCACAGAAAGCTGTAACAGTCATGCGAGGGTACAGTAATTATTGAACAAGGCAAATATCTCACCACAGAGAGCAGTGGGGGAGTCAAGAGGAGGCACCGCACGGGGATAGAACACCGGGTCAATGCCACAGTGTACAGTGGCAGGAACAATACTTAGAGAGATCAGGAAAACATGGGATTGCGCTCCAAACGTGACTTAGTGCTAGCTTTTTCTGATGGTCTTAGCTCGGCATTATCAGAAACAGTTGAGAGTACTTGGTACTTGAGACAGAACAGTGCTTCATGTCATGAGCTCATGAAGGCTCTATTACAAACTGTTATATTGTAGGCTGAAAATGAACTTGAAATGCTGACATGCTGTAGGAGGAAAAAACTGTACACTTTCTCATTTAAAGACGCAGTGTTTACCCTCTGCTAAACCCTCAGGCATCGAATGTGGCACACCATGTGAAGTAGCTTGGGGTATGCGTACCTGGGGCGGCCCCAGGGACATCGGGCAGCCTACTGGCTACTTCTCCAGGTACTTTCCTCAGCACCCTGCTGTGACCTTTGTACATCTCTCACTAAATCCAGAGTGAAGCTGCCACTTTAAAGGTTTTTGCATAAGTCTTGCCAACACTCTGTTCTGCATATAACACATTTTGGCAAGTGTTATACCTCTATAAATTGTACAAGTAACCACAGTAAATCTACAGAGTGAAATTGCTGAGTGCAGTACATTATTCTTTTATTTAGAAAAATGTACTGAGTTTTCTAAAAGCTGGGCAAATAGCACATACCTTAAATGTTAGTGACTAACATGATATGAGAAAAGATGCTGACAAGGGCCCCCAAAGATTCCCGGGATAGGAGCACTTGCTGCAGGCGGCAACGTCATCCCAGGTGTTTCCACGAGTTCCTGCTCTGGGGAAACAATTACGGTGAAAAGGTGAAGTGCAAATAAGGGGCTGTCACTGACTTAAAGTGCCCTAGGTCGTAGCCTTCCCTATCATAAAGTGAGACGCCAGTGACGAGAGCCAACCTGGAAAAAACTGTCTCTGGTGTGACTGCATGGGTCAGCAGGGCGTCGTGTAAGAAAGGATTCAGGAGAGGGAAGAAAGGATTCAGGAGAGGGAGGAACCACTGCATCTTTCAAACCAGAAAGTGATTAGTGACTAAAGCAACGGTAAGCAGTAGGTGCACTGAAAGTACATACTGCCACAGGTCACCGGTGGGTGACACACACAGGGGTGCCAGGAACAGTTCTCTGGACTGAAGGAATTCTTTGAAAGCATAAAAGCCACAACTACCAGAAACCGCTCCTCCGAATGGCTCAAAGGAGTCAAGGTGGGTAAGCCGAGACGGGCTGAAGACAGGACCAGGGCCAGGAACTGGGAAGAACACCGATGTCTGGGCACATCCAGTCCTCTGATCCCTTGTCCTATCGGAAACAAACAAACAGACCCGAGTTAAAAATGCCCTGGCTGGTGAGGCTCAGTAGTGAGAGCACCAGCCCAGACACAGAAGGGTTCAGGTTCAATTCCCGGTCAAGAGCATGTGCCTTGGTGGCAGTCTGATCTCCGGCCCCGGTCTGGGCACATTTGGGAGGCAACCAATTGATGTGTCTCTCTCACATTGATGTTTCTCTCTCCCACTTCCTCCACCCCTTCATCCCTCCCACTCTCTCTAAAAATCAATGAAAAAAATACCTCTTCAGGTAAGGATTAAAAAAAATAAAAAAGAATCACATTAAAACATCAGCAGTAGCATTAGAAAAGTGTTAAAATGAAAAGAATGAACCATAATAAAACATTACCAACAGCAACATCATGAAAAGCAAAAAGTGAAAAAGGGAAAAGAACCTGCAAAAAGGTCATTTCACTTGGAACACTTGGGCATGTGAAACAGGGCAGCTTTGAAGGGCGGGGCTGTCTTCGAAGGCACCTCTCTTCAGATGTCTCCATACACTTGTGGGGGACACACGGACACACACACACTTGCTCACAGGCTAGCTGGCTGGCTTCAGTAGACTCAAGATTAACCCACCACGATAATGATCAAAACCAGAGTCTGAGGGTCTTTATAAAGTAATACGAAGTAAAAATCTCTTCCCCCTCCCCCTCTTCTCAGTAAGTCTCTTTTTCTCTGGATGATCAGGTAGGACAAAATCAACTACACAGGCAGCAGGACGTGTGCTGTTACTAATGCTCTGGCTGTGGTGCAGAAGAACAGCAAAACAAAGTGCTGGTTGGAAGAGGATGGCGGCCCGATTCTGGAGATAGGGAACTGTGGCCTAGTTCCCACAGGCAGGGGTGGGTCTCATCATCCAGGTCGAGGGGAGCTGGCCTCTGAGAGCACCCTGAAAGGCAGCTGGTGGCAACTTGCTGACAGCTTTCACTCATTTTCCGTACGTGACAGGGTTCACTTGGCTCTCCAGATGTTTGCAAATGGGTCTCCTCCAAAAGTACAAGGAGCACATTTCCCCTCCATTATCCCCATTCTCTATTCCACTTGGAGAAATTATATTTCTCAAAGTGCATTTCCTATGAGCACTTAATAAACAAACAAGGAGCAACTGAATTCATTACGAGTATGCATCTGAACTTAACCAGAATAATTTTCAAATGTTTTAAGGCACTGAAAGTTAAGAATCACAAATGGTCAACTTTACTCTAACCACTTACAGGCTAGTGTTTCTCAACTGAGTGTCAGAATCCTCTGAAGGACATGTTAAAACACAGGTTGCTGAGTGGGGGAGGGACGGGGAGGACGGACATAGACCACACTTCTGAGAAACACTGCTTAAAGCAGCCCCTGTATGTAATGAATTAATTTTACCTCTAGGTTTCTCTTAGTTTTGTACCTTCCTTGGGAGAAGTGAAAACACTGCCACTGAAATCCTCGGCCTGAGCCATTGTCCTCAGACCTCAACATCTATAATAATCTATAATAATAAAAGCATAATATGCTAATTAGACCAGACATCCTTCCGGACAAAGCCAGGGTGGCGAGGGAAGCCCAGGTCCCAGGTGCCACAGAGGGAAGCCAATGCAGGCAGCCGGGGGAAGGAAGGCCTACTTTTGCTCAAACTTCGAGCATCGGGCCTCTAGTATGAAAATAAAAAGGCATGAGAGAATGAAATACAGACCCAGGTAAGAAACCCCCAAATGTCTACCACTTGCAGAATCTGCTCTTCCATAATGCCACCAGGTGGCTTCCTATTCTAATACAAGCATAGCACCCCTTGGGCCACTTGTGTGCACACTGTACATGATACTGCTGCTTGCCAAAGGACACCTCCAGCCCCTCCATGCCAGTCTGTCCGAAGCATTTCCACAGCAAATGCTTTAACCCTTGGTTGCAATTCTTTATTTCACCATTCACTTCTATAGGGTTCTAATACAAGCCCTATTCTCCCTCTTCCATACATTCTCTAAAATCATGATTTGCATTTCCTTTTTTTGAGCACGTGCTTTTTAAAAATCTACCAATATCACTGTATTGTCCACCATATCTTATAATCTAAATTCATGAAGCTTCCATGCAGGTCTACAGAGATCCCACTTTCTTTCAGGTAACTTAATTTATATTCTCTTTCCCTCTCTAGGTCTTATTGTATGGTCAAAGCTCCAGGTACCTGACAAATTTAAGATCTATATCCAGGCTGGAATCTAGCGGTCTCTTCAAAAATGAGTTCTTTGAGCTTCTCCTTAGGCAAGTCATCCAATTCCATGTCAAACTTGAATGGTGCTTCAGCAATGGGCTTTAAGAGAAAACAAAATATTTAGTAGACAATTGTTATGGTTAGGAGTCTCTGAAACGTATACAAGACTGACATCTACTAAAGACCAAGAGCTATGGTAGCTATGGTAAGTATCTATGTACTTGTGCCCCACATGCCTCAAAGTGTAATTCCTGTGAGCACTTAACAAACCGGGAGCAATTGAATTCATTACGAGTATCCATCTGAACTTATCCCAGAATAATTTTCAAATGTTTTAAGGCACTGAAAGTTAAGAATCACAGAAACTTGTAGGGGTGATGGTGATGGTATGTTTATACAATCAAAATCCAAAATACTCAAATAGATGCATTTGATTAAATACATTATAATATCTTTATATGAAGAAATATTTTGGAGTGTTAAAAATGAAGCTACAGCCCTAGCCAGTTTGGCTCAGTGGATAGAGCATCGGCCTGCGGACTGAAAGGTCCCAGGTTCGATTCTGGTCAAGGGCACATGCCCAGGTTGTGGGCTCGATCCTCAGTAGGGGGCTTGCAAGAGGCAGCCGATCAATGATTCTCAAACATCATTGATGTTTCTATCTCTCTCTCCCTCTCCCATCCTCTCTGAAATCAATTAAAATATATATAAAATGAAGCTGCAAGAAAGATTAGTACAGCAAACCCTCGATTTTTCAGACCTCGATATAATGAACTTTGGATTTACCGGGAAAAGTTTCTGGTCTGTATGTCATATGTGAAAATTAATGCCCTGTTAATTTTAAAATGCTTTTAACCAATATTTGCTCATAATTAAATTAATAGGCTATTTTTTAATTAACTCAGTTATTTTTAACAAATTTTAGCAAATGGGCCATATGTTGGAAAAAAAACACTGCAATAATATCACCCACGTAAATAAACATTACATATCTAAATCGGAGAGTCATCGGTCATAAACAATGCTCAGCGAATGACTAGCATGTGATCACACTGCATCTCACAGGGTAATTGGTTCTGCTGTCGAGTGGGGTGACTTTGCAGCAGTTTCAACGCCTGTCTGCCAATGTCCCACAGTGTGCTCAGCCAGGCTCCAGCTGTGGGCCTCTGTTTACTCTCAGTGACTGGTGAATGCACGCATTTACTAGACCGAGTCAGTATAAATTTAAAATTACTGTAATAGACATAGAAAACTTTTCTGTGAAATGAAACTTTTCATACATACTTAATTTTAATTACACAAATGTGTCTATATAAGTAAAAACAGGTAAACTATTTTGTCAATTTTTAACATATGCATTCGGAAAACCTACTTTATTACATAACGGACTATCGGTTTTAACTGACATACCCTCTCCCAAATTAATCCTTTATATCGAGGTTTTACTGTATCATGGGAAAATACCCACGTTTATGTTAAACAGAATGAACCCTACTTTATTTTTAAAATTTAGATACAGAAATGTAAGCTGGGCAGGAAATACTCCAAAGCTTTAATAATAATACTGCAAAAAGACTACAAAGTGATCTTTCTTGTATTTTTCCTGCAAATTTTCTTTTATCACTCTCTTTAACTAGACAGCTATTTCAGTATAGATGAAAACTATCTATGTAAAAAAACAACTCCATACATTATCAATGACAAAAACAAAACAAAATTAGTCAATTAATATTATTTATATTTTGATTTTTAAGTACCCCCAACTCACTATGTTATAGAACTAATCTAACGATGATACCAGTTGTCAATCATTGGATGCCTAGTCACATATTCCTCCCACCAGACCTCACAGAAAGCAAGTATGGGCCCCAAAGTCTACACTAAAGCGTTGGCCTCTTGAAAGAGGGGAATGAATGCGTGTCCATGAGAGAAGTCAACAAGCAGCTAGCCTGCCCTGAAGGACGGCTCTGTGTGAGACAGACCACACTGGGTGTCCTACCTACGCCGTCCGAATCCTCCCAACCCCCTGCTGGGTATGGGTGGCAACCAGTTTGAGATGAGGACACAGGGGCACTGAGGGCTCCATAAGGTACGCTCCCTCACCTAGTTCCTTGTTGTTTACTCTACTGGAGGTATCTTTGCAAGATGTCTTGTTTCTGGAGGAGGGGATAAAGGTAGAAGGGGAAGCTGCTTAATAAATGATTTCTTTCATTTATCAGCTTTTAGCTGTTGTAGCTTTTCCTCTCCTCTTCTATTTTCCCCTTTAATTTTAATACACCCTCCTTGGCTCTCCCTCTTTCAAAAATAGGAGTGTGAAGGCTTACTTTCTATACATATGAACCTCAACTAGAAAGGTCCCAACGTGGTTCATATTGCATTTTTCTCTGCTATCTTTAGTTGGATCTCCAGAATGCTTGGAGACCTGCCAACACTGACCTGTGGACTCATCATCTCTTACCACAATAGGCTCTTGTGTTCCCATCTTCAGGGAGGTACACCATACTTGAAGTCACCAAGCTATAGGGGAACTGTCCAGGCTGACCTGCCTGCCTCCTTAGTCTACATGACACCCATCCCCAAACAGGCAACCTCCTCTCTATCCTCAGGACAGGCACTTTGGTTCAGGCGTCTCTACCTGCCATAGACCATGACAATGGTCTCCACTCCTGGAACCCTTCCTTATCTGTGCTCCCCTTTATCCAACTATTTCCCAGCCTCACCCCTGCTAGAAGTTTTCTAAGGTAAAAGGGTCTGAAGAAGGGTTTCAAGCTGTGCTGACAGAATTAGGCCTCCAGGCGGAGGAGGTAGGCATAGTGGGAGGACCAGGTACAGCACCAAGTATCTCTCAGAACAATCTCCAAAGGCCATCTGGGCCCCTCCTGGCTGGGCCTGCTGCTGGCTCACATATATCCCTGCAGAAGCAGCAAGGAGCACAGACTCTTACCTCATCACTTGGGTCATAATACTGCTCCAGATACGGGTGGGCTAGCGCCTGTTCTACCTCAATCCTCTTGTGAGGGTTGAAGGTCAACATTTTGTCCAGTAAATCCAGAGCTACAAAGAGAAAGTTTTGCAGTGGTGAGAAATAAAGGAATAATCACTGAAATACTTTCCATTTCCTGTTTAAGTAAAGGGACTCAAAAACAAACAGCTAAGCATCGCCTTGGGGAGAAGAGTCAGCACACGGGTGGCTATGATGTCTCCGAGCTTCTTGAGACTGTGACCATCTGACACTTGCTGACCCAGGCTTACAGGTGACGCTCAGCCAAAGGCTGAAAGTGGAAGACGACAATTCAAACCCAACTCTGCCTGCCACACCTGGACTTTTCCTAAATCACTACTCTGCTTTGTAGATGTCAAAAGCAAGTTTTATGTATGTACTTCTCTTAAGTCAACTCCAAAGTGATTTCTGCAATGGTCAATTTATCTTTCAACACACAGGATAGACCTCTAAGGTAATAGAAGAAAATGGTCATTTGCCCTCCTATGTGGTTTTAGTCCCCTTCTTCCAGGTCCTGGCCAAGGTTCATGTGTGAAGCAAAGGTGCCCGGTCTATTCTGCAGCCTGGCATCTTTCTCCAAGGCCCCAAACTAAAAGTATCCTCTCAATCTGACCATAGTTAGCAGCTGAACATTTCTTTCACGTTAACAGTAGGAAGCAAGTGTGGAATCAATAGGAATGAGATGGGGGAGAGGGGGTTGATGGACAGTTTATCCTGATGGACTTCCTCCATACCTAGTATCCAGGGAACAGCTCAAATCACGAGAATAGCCAAAGGGCATGGCTAACTCCAGCTGGGACAAGGGTTAAGGGAAGTGTGACAGAACACTTCCTGGATTTAGTATCAGAAGTAGATGTCAATGAGAAACAATAAATGTCAGAAAATACATTATTGTTCTAATAAAGAGGTAGCAAGGGGGGCTTCTTTTCTGAAAGATCTAAAATTTTAAAAAAATTTTTGAGAGAGAGGAAGGGAGAGACAGACAGACATAGATATGAGATGTGAGAGATATACACTGATCAGTTGCCTCCCATACACATCCCCAACTGGGGATAGAACAAAAACCTTGGGTATGTGCCCTTACTGGGAATCAAACCCATCACCCCTTGGTGTACTGGACAGTGCTTCTACCAACTGAGCAACACCAGCTGGGCAGTAGAGGCTTCTTTTAAAACTGTCTCTTTAATGACACTCAAACCAGCGGTTTTCAATTTATTTTTATTTTTTTAAATATTATTTTATTAATTTTTTTACAGAGAGGAAGGGAGAGGGATAGAGAGTTAGAAACACCAATGAGAGAGAAACATCGATCAGCTGCCTCCTGCACACTCCCTACTGGGGATGTGCCTGCAACCAAGGTACATGCCCTTGACCGGAATTGAACCTGGGACCCTTCAGTCCGCAGGCCGATGCTCTATCCACTAAGCCAAACCGGTTAGGGCTCGGTTTTCAATTTAAGTGGCAGGTCCTTTCTTTAAATCCTAAGGGGAGCCGAAAAGCTATTCAAGCCTCTGCTAAGTCCTAGAGAATATAGTGACACTTAAACAAAAACCCCACAGTGGCATCTACTTAATGAAGCAGTGATAACTGATCAGGCATCAACCTCAGCCACATGCCATTAAGCTCTACGTGTAGAATGGTAGAGGAAACTAATTTTACTCATTCATTTAATCCTTGAGAGCAACAGGCCAATGCAGCTTCTGAAGTGACTGCTTATGTGCTAGGAAGTCAAACTCCAGAGAGCAGGTGGAGGGCTGAAGAGGCACCTAACTGCCTGAGGTCACTATAAGGGCGTGCGCTTGTCAGTGTGTGCACATGCTCTTTGCATGCTCATCTAATGCCAACTAGTGACTCCCTAGTTGCATGTCACCCATCTTGATCTTCAAGACAATTAAGAGAAAATAAGTGTGGTAAACCACAAGTTGGGCATAATGAGAAATTCCACATAGCACAGAATTTTCCTCATGTCCATAAGGGTGGCTGTAAAAGGTTTTTAAAACACATGTAATGGCCGAAGCCGGTTTGGCTCAGTGGATAGAGCGTCGGCCTGTGGACTGAGGGGTCCCAGGTTCGATTCTGGTCAGGGGCGTGTGCCTGGGTTGCGGGCGCATCCCCAGTGGGAGATGTGCAGGAGGCAGCTGATCGATGTTTCTCTCTCATCGATGTTTCTGACTCTCTGTCCCTCTCCCTTCCTCTCTGTGAAAAATCAATAAAATGTATTTAAAAAACAAACAAACAAACAAAAAAACACATGTAATGACTGTGTGCCTCTATCAGTCGTTCTAACACAACGCGTTTACCTGAGGATATCAGGGAACAGTGACATTTTGCTCTACAGGTTAGGAGACTTTTCAGAGCAGAGGAGGCTCTTGGGAATCTAGACATGTTAGGCTTTGACTGAAGCAGTCTGGGCAGCAGAAGAGCTGTCATTTCTGCAGCTGTGACATGGGGTCTCACGGGGCCTACATCTGGCTTGGTTTCAGAGGAGGCTCACTCTAAGGTCAGGACAGTGCAGCATGATGGTCAAGAACTGAGGCACCTCCTGCTCACATCTGAGTCCCATGGAATACCAGACAGATGTATGTGCACATGACACAACCCTTGTCGAGTAAGTTTTAGAGTCTTACCTATAACACAGGTAATAAAATCTATCTTTCCTACTCCCAACCACCCCTCCCTCAGAAGAGCTCACAGACATTTCCCGAAGAACTTGGCTGAGATTAGAAGTCATTTGTCCTTTTGCCCAGTTAGACACCATTGGTGTCAGAAAATATCCAGGTCAGCCTAGCAACAGTCTCATTCTAAAGCAGTATTTCTAAATAGTTGAGGGGTGGGGTACGTTCCCACTTCAAGGCACCTGGTAGTTTAAGCATTTCTAAAACAGATCTCTTAGTTCCTTCAAGTTAAAAAAATTCTAGGCCCTTAATCTTCCAGGTAACAATTTCAAAGGAAGGTAACTTCTTATTTTGCTACTTGAAAAATAACTGGATCTCTAGCCTCCTTTTACTGCAAGTGATATTTGTTGCGTTAATCACAACTACAGAAGGGGAAAAGGAGAGAAATGGGGAGCAGCTGGCAGGTGCTGATCTCACAGTTAGAGTGCCCAGCCTCCCCCTCCCACACCACACAGCAATCCGCTGGCACCACTCAGATGGCATGAATCACGCTACCTGTGCGTATGTTTCCTTGGATTCAGGTCTTATTTCTCCTAAGAGACTGAAGTCCCTCCGGGGCTGACCGTGATCTCTGACTCTCCCTGGTGCCCTCTCAGAACCCACACCTTCTCTTTAGTTTCAGTGGGTGCTTAGCAATATAACCCCACCCTTCTGGCCCCCACCCCAGGCCTAGACCCCATGGAGGGTCATCAGACTGGCTCTCCATCGCATGGCTTTGGGTCCATCTCACCTACCCAGCAAAACTGATCCTGGATCAAGGCTGCAACCTGTCACTTCCATCCTCAACCTGAGTTTCTTAACGGGGACCAAGAAAATGACCTAGCTGTGCAAACTGTGCTACCATAACTTTCTGACCACAGAATCCTGCCCTTAAAAACTATTGAGGATCACCCTGGCCAGTGTCTAAGTGGTTAGAGCGTTGGCCCATGCACCAAAGGGTCATAGGTTTTATTACCTATCAAGGGCACATACCTGGGTTGCAGGTTGGATCTCCAGCCCTGGTCGGGGCGTGTGCAGGAGGCAACCAATAGATGTGTCTTTCTCACATGGATGTTTCTCTCTCTCTCTCCCCCTCTCTCCCTTCTACTCTCTCTCTAAAAAAATAAACAAATAAATGAAGTGAAAAAATATCCTCAGGTAAGAATTAAGAAAAACAAACAAACAAAACCCCCCAAAACTTTTGAGGATCAATTTCAAAAAGCAGCTAAGTCAGCTCATAATTCAAACAAGTGCTTTTCCTTGAGAAAACCAGGGCAATCATATGTGGCAGACATGTTCTATGTGTACTTCCCATTTTGCCACATAAAACATTAAAAAGACATATGAAGGGTGCGTTTTAATAAAGAGTATTGCCGAAACCGGTTTGGGTCAGTGGATAGAGCGTCGGCCTATGGACTGAAGGGCCCGGGTTTGATTCCGGTCAAGGGCATGTACCTGGGTTGCAGGCACGTCCCCAGTGGGGGATGTGCAGGAGGCAGCTGATCGATGTTTCTCTCTCATCGATGTTTCTGGCTCTCTATCTCTCTCCCTTTCTCTCTGTAAAAAATCAATAAAATATATTAAAAAAAACAAAAAAACATTCTGACTGCAGTTGGCATTGGTTTTTAGCTGTGAGGGCATGGCATTGTCTTGTGTTGAGGTGCTGGCAGTCTTGCTCACCACTGCTTAAGAACCAAGAGTGCAGATGGCAACAGAGAAAAGGGTAAACAATGCCTTATAATATAAAAATAGTTTTATCCTCACAGATACCCTGGAAGGACTTTGGGACCTCAGAGGTGTAAGGACTATGCTATTGAGAACTCCTACGATACAAAATTGCAAGCTTTTTTTAAAATCTCATGAAGGCCCCCCAACTGCTCTGGAAAATCCCTGGTCTGCCCCTTCTCTATTCTAAGAGTTTTCTCAACTCCTACCACTTGAAGCATAACCTTCCTATCAACTGGACCTCATTATTCTCAGCAGATCTCACTGAGGGTGCTACTGAGATGCCCAGGAGTGACATTCCTGGATGTCCCTCCACCCAAATGCACACATATCCTCATTGTGGAAAGAGGAGAGCCTCTCCCTAATTAAAGCCAAATCTCTGCGACATGTGGCCTGATCACAACCAGCTCTCCCTCATCTGAACCACTAAATTGTCTCCACTTTCCATTTCAAACTTCTCACACAAATGCTTTAACTGCTCTTATGAGGTCACCAATGACCCCTTCATTAGAAGCTTCTCTGCTGCAAGGAGATTGCTGAACATGTCTTCTTTCTTATAATGCCATCGTCTGCTTCTGTAAAATACTGAGCTAGTTATTTTCTTTGTCCATTCTTTCTAGTTTTCAAGCGTTCCTATTTCATTTATTCCATTGCCCACTGAAGGTTCATGTTAT